ATTTATATTGCGCATACTGTATTATCATATGTCTTTCGCTAACCTGTAAGTCAGAATTTTTAAAATGCTAATGTAAATTACATTATTAGTTAGAGAATTAGTAATGCGTTATGCATTATTATGATCAGCTCATTTGATTACCAAAAAGTGCGTCATCTTGCAACCTAATTATTGTGTCAGTACACATACAGGACAAAAGTATCTAAACAATTACGATATTGCACAAATTTAACTGTATATTGCTGATTTTTAAATAATAATAGAATATCCAATTTTTAACCAAATTCGTTATTCTTTTTTTTCCAGAATCCCATGGCTTCGCTTTTTTAAATAAAAAAAATTTTTTATAAATAATTATTTTAATACATAAAAATGCCAAAAACCCGCAAGCTTACACCTTTTGAGTGTAGAGAAATTGTAGGTTTATTAAAGGGCAGACATAGCATAAGAAACATCTCAAAAATTCTTGGCAAACCAAAATCTACTGTCCATAATATAATTACGAAATACAATAAAGAAAACTGCACTAATACTGCACCTAGGAATAGTAAACCTTCAGCTTTATTAGAACAAGATAAATGTCAACTAGAAAGAATAGTCTGACAAAACTGTAAACAAGCCGTAGAAGAAATTACTGAACAATTTAACCATGATCTTAATATTTTATTAAGTAGTAAAACTGTTAAGTGAGCACTGCATTTTATGGGTTATTATAAGCGTACTGGTAAAAAAAAACCTTTAGTTTCTAAAGTAAATAAAAAAAACGTTTACTTTGGTATCATATTAGAAAAAGTTGGCAAGATGAATGGAATTTTATAATTTTTAGTGATAAATCTCATTGTGAATTATTTAGAAATGATGCTAATCAATGGGTTTAGCATAGGGTTCATAAGACATATGCAAAAATTGTTTAATTCTAACAGTTCAAAAGTCAAAAGGAGTTATGGTTTGGGAGTGTTTTTACAACTTTAAAGTAGGACCATTAGTACTAATTGAGAGAAAATTAAATGCTGAAAAGTATGTAGAATTACTTAAACATTATCTTTTACCTTTTCTTAATAAACTTGGACCTAATAGCCATATTTTTTAAGATGATAATGCTTCAGCACATGCAGCATGATTCACAAAGAGTTGAAAAGAAGAAAATTTACATCAATCACTTTCTTGATCAGTACAGAGCCCTGACCTTAATCCAATTGAGAATTTGTGAGATATATTGAAAAGAAAAGTTAAGATGTATAGTACTAAATCAAAAAATAAGTCAGAACTTTTAGCTGCTCTTAAAGAAGAATGGTACTAAATTGAACCTGAAAGATTATTAAAGTTAGTTGAAAGTATGCCTCGTAGAATTAAGGCTATAATAAAAAGTAAGGGTATCCTACATCATATTAGTATTATTTTTAAATTAATATAAGCTAATAAATAGTTAAAATTTATATGTTTTTATTAAAGATTATAATATTGTAATATAGCTAAAAATTTCTTTAAATTTTTTCAGTTTTTTTATATTATTTCATAACTATCTAACAAAATTTTATAAAAAAATTTATAATTATATATTTTAAATAATAACAAAAAAGGTTACTTAGTAATAAAAATTATGTTAAAACTAAACATTTTAATATTATACTATAACTAAAGTTTTTATTAGAAAATGTATTATTTTAAATAAATTTTAAATTATTATAGTTTGACCAATTTTTACTTAAATTCTTTGAAATTTTTATGTATTATATAATATATTATGATAAACAACTTTACTTATGAAACTGAAGTTATATTTATTAATAAAAAAAAAGTTTACTTATATCTAACTTTACCCAATTAATTTAATAATTTGCATAGTGTTTAGATACTTTTGTCCTGTATGTATATATGTATGCTGATTTTGTGTTCGTAGTTGAAAGTACATTATATACTATTATAGCTAACCCATTTGATTGCTAAAAGTATGCCTAATTTTTACCTATTTGTTGTCAGTATAAGTATGCTGATTTCACGTCTCAAAGTTTGAATCATAAGAGCATCATATTGTATTTTCAGTTGTTTAGAGAATTGGTGATGCACTTTCTATTGCTATGGCTGGCTTATTTGATTACCAAAAAAGTGTACCTATTTATTGTCAGTATATGTATGCCAATTTTAAATGTCCCAAAGTTTGCATTATTAAAGTGCATTCATATTTCCTCCAGTAATATGTTTCAAACATATTAGGATATAAATTGAGATGATTTTTTCACATTGTGCTGTTCCTAGTGTTCTTAGAGAAAATTTTCTGAGAACACTTTCTAAGAATAACTATGATATCAATTTTTGGGTTTTTAAGTTTATTGATTGTATTCTTCTATGTATATTCCTAGTGTCTCTAGTGTTCTTAGTAAAAAATAAGTTGTGGGAAATAATTCAAAACTTTTTTATGCTACTTATATATGCTATATAGGTACTATATAAATATTATATAGATAGTATATGCGTAATATACATATGTTTAAAAAATAAAAAAAAAGTTAGGTGTTCCAATTTTTCTAAGAATGCTAAGAACACTAGAGATACCTATCTAGAAGTCTTCCCAGAATTCTAAAAATGTCAAAAAGCCTACTTTCAACGTTAGAAGTGTCCTTCTGCATTTTTTCTAGGAATAACTTTTTAAAGTTAGCACTTTATTATATCAGACATTTTTATTTTATCAAGATCCCGTTTTAATATATCTGGAGTCTACCCATTCTGAAGCATCTTATTCAACTTTTTCCGCTGATAATATGCCTTTGAATAATACTTTTGGATATACAAATTATAAAACCTATATTTAGAAGCCATCAGTATTACATATTTATCTTGTTTACATAGAGCTCGCTGGTATCTTTTTCAGTAAAAATAACATCCTTCTGGTCGATTAGATCTATTTTCACAAACTATTTCTTCATCAGAGGAATACTGGCAAACGTATTTTTTACCCATTGATTTTATGCTTAGATATTAGTTTAGTATCTATAATAATTATTTATTTTTATTTTAAACATTTTTATTAGGGTATTATACTGAAATGATATACTAGATAATATATCTGAAATATGATTAAACATTCAAAGCTTTCAGAGTTTCTTGACGCATTCACCCTGTACTATTGTAGATTCAAACCCTTTGATATAGATATATCTCTATATAAAATTCAAGATGATAGTGTTAAACTAAGATATTTTCTTGGTGCAGATAATGCGAATAAGATAGAAGCAATACTCTTAGATTATAAAAGGCATTTTCTACATGAGATTATTGATAGTGATAAGCCACTCTATCCTATCATAGATTTCAATTTGTCAATAGAAATACTAAATGCTATTTTACCTAAGCTATCAGACAAACAGGCTAAAAGCACACTTTGCAATGCTTTTAGAGATGTCTGTCTAGAAATATTTCCAAAATGTGATAAAAAACTATATCCATGCTAATAGTAGTGATATGAAAAAAATATCTCTTCATGTCTTAACTTTCAGTATGAGACTTTTAAGCATCACTCAGGTTGCAATATTTACTGAGCTTATTCATAAAAAACTCCTAGTAGGATTACAGGATAAAGGTATTATAGACAATATAGCAAACAAATGATCATTTTCCTTGCGAATACTTAGATCGCTCAAGTATAAGAAAGAAATAAAAGAGCATATTCGTGTTAAAAAAGCTGTTCATCTAAAAAATAGAATTATCTTTGATTTCATGATTCGTCCGCCTAATGATGAATCAGAAGTCATTAAAAGTTCTCTTTTAGATATTTCAGAACCAAAAGTCAAAATATATGATGATACAAATAGCGAAACTGATCAGACTAAGTTCAAATTGGTAGAAGAATTACTCAAGAAGACCAGTATTAAGGGATTTAACCTTTCATATCCATCAGAATCATTTCCTAATGTCTTTCCTCTCAAACGTATGAGCAAATCATATTGTTCATTATGTGATCGGAAATATACAAGTGAATATAAATATATTATTTAATATAAAAAGTTTTATAGTTTTCACTACTATCATACAGATCAGAAAAAGCCACTTGGTGAAAAAAAAGCCTTCAATAAAGCTTAATCTTAGTGAGACGGCTTTGAGCTGAGAAAAGAACCTTTTAGCTTCAGTAAAATTAGAACAATTCAGAATTTCAAACCCAAATGATCATTTGTGTGATGGGATTATAGATGCCTGCCAAAACCTCCTCAAAATAATTTTATCATACCCTTTTCTATGTTTTTAATATAGTTTCGACAGTTTCAGCTTTCGTCGTATCGAATGGGTTTCGTTATATCCCTTATTATGATTTTAATATAGTTTCGTCTAAGTTTCGACTGTTATTAAGGGGTTTCGTCCCTCATCTATAGATGGGATTTAATATGTATATGTACTTTAGGTAAGAAATATTTCTGTTGATACTATATAAAGTCAATCTTACATCAGCAAGTTTTGAACGGGTATTTAATGTGTCAACAAATACCATGTGTTGATCAACACCAAAAGTGTTGAAAAATGGACCCTGTATCAATTAACGCATTTAATAACACATAAAACAACATCTATTTTAGTGTAAAGCAATACACTTTAAAATAATGACAGTTTAAAAATGCGTATAATTAGTTAAAAACGTGTTTATTTATATGTAATACATCACTATACAACAATAATTGCATACTACTAATTGAACCAAAAGCTTTATTTATTTCAGTTATTCATTATTGCTAGTAAATTTAATATATGTAACATGTAAATATCACCGTGTGTGCTTTACAAAATATCGTAATCATCACTAATATCAATATCGTTATCTTTAATCTCAAACATATCGATCATACTAGTATGATCATTATTACCATGATCATTATCTTCATGATTATTATTATCATCATCATTACCATTATGATTATTATCACCATCATCACCAAGCATAGAGGAAGGACCGGATACATATTTTTCTGAATTCTATATATTTTAATGTATCAGTATTAGTAGTTAATTTCAAATTACTTCGTTTCTATACTTACTCCATCAGGATCAGTTAACATATAGATCCAAGAATCGACTGCTTCGTTTTTAATTTTTGGAGATTTGTATTTTTCGTCAAAAATTGTTTCTAATACTGACTGCACCCATAATGTGTTTGCAGGAGTACGTTCTTTCTCAGGAAATATTGACTTGATAATTAACGTGATATATATGTCAGAAGATAGATCATCTAGATCGATAGGTGTATAAAGATTTTCGTATACTTTTTTTATGTTCTCACTCCGTTTTCACTCTAACATTTGTTCTTTGCTATAATTATTCCCAAATGGTTTAATTCTATTTACTCCAAATACAGACCAGAGACTTTCTTTGAGTCTTCATACATAATAACCTTTTTTGCCCTATTGGTATGAAGAATCTATATTAAACATGTTAAAAATTAGTTACTAACCATTACTAGCAAATGTTAGTATGTATACTTACAAGTGAATATAGCTTTTCGTCCCATAAATCGTCAAACGAAACACTGTTCATTTATAATTGCTTTAGTTTATTAGCACAGTATTCATCAGCGTTTAATTTATTCTTGAGGCGCTCTTTCATTTCTTGTATATTTAATCGTTGATACTCTTGAAATAACTCATGAGCAAGCTTCTTGATCGTATTCTATAATAATTATTATAAATAAAAAAAATAATATAAGAAACAACAATATTTGCGTAATAAAATTCATTAGAACTTTTATTTTTATTTTTTCCTTTGCTTTTCGTCCCGACATTAAAATTTTCTTGAGAGTCTAGTCTTGAAATTATTGTTGAAATTTGGTTTTTTTGCTCAGTCAAAATTTCTTCTAATGTTTCTTGTTTTCTTAATACAAGATTAAGACTTGACGCGTTTCTTTGGCCAATTTGAATTAACTTGGCCAATTCGCGTGTATTATCAACTAGCAAATTATCATTATTATAAATTAATAATATTAACAAATGTATGATAAATGTGGTAAAAACAAATACATAATAAATATTAACCTTCGTTGATGGTGGTATTTTTTGATGCAGCTGACTTGTTGGACACTACTCTTTTTGACTTATCAGATACTATCGCTGATTTTGATGATAATGATGATAATTTCACTAAGTTGGATACTGCTGCCGTCTTGGACGTTGTTGTTGCTGTCTTATACGTCTTGAGCGTCATTGTTGCCGTTGTTTTTGATGTTGCTGAAGACACACCTACTGATAATACCGGTGATTCATTACCGTGACTAAATAGATCTATTTTTTGTATTTTTGTTGTCTTTGTAATAATAACAATATAATCACAATTAATTTATGAATAATGAGTTGTAAAGATATACTAGTATTTTAATTAATTAAATAATTACTTTATCATTAGAAGCTGCCTTTTCATTAGCGATCGCGAACCTTGTTCTAAGGTGTTTCAGGTTATTCTGGTTAAAGGCTTCACTGTTATTTATGACGGATTGTTAATCAAAAAGAAAAAGTAAAAGAATACTGAGTATATATATATCAATAAAAATATGATTATGTCATTAAATAGTTAGTATAATGTTGTTATTCAATTACTCACAAATGATTTACTAACCTATAGTTTAGACGATTTAGTCATTTTACTAAAATATTATAATTGCTCATCAAGACTTTAGAAATTTGGTAAATTTGTTATGATTATCATGGCGTGACATAACAAATGATGTTAACTAGTAACTGATTTTTTTTTCTTTAAGAACTAAACTAAAAAAAGAAGTTAATATGACAATCATATTATTTCATTATCATTAAACAGTAAAACAAAAAATTCAGTTGTAACAATATTACCTTGCTGTCGACAAATAACGAATCATACAATGTGATATAAATGACGTTAACTAATAATTGAAATATTTTTTTTTAAGAAAAAGGAAGTTAATATGACAATTATATTACTTCATTATCATTAAACAGTGAAACGATTCAATAAAGAAAAATTCAGTTATAACAATATTACCTCACTGTCAACAAACCAGGTTTTAAAAAACAAGTTTCAAACTTTAGTAAACTTGATATTATAATATATCATAATAAAACTGAAATCATATCAACCTTACCTACGTCAAGCAACACTTTGAATTTTCTCATCAAACACGAACATAGTGTTAAACGTTTCTTTTTTTTCTTTAATATACTTTGTGTCAAGCAATAATACTCTTTTTTTCTTTTAAAGTCACGTTCTTCTTCTAATAAACTAACATTTAAAAATGGATAGTTATCAGTGTTCAAAATGCGAAAAAGTATTCAATTACCTTTCTTCTTTACAGAACTACAGGAAAACTCATAGTAAAATTGATAAGGTTTTGCAAAAAATTATTATGAAAGAACAGGAAAAGGCAATTGCTGCTATTACTACTGAACAACTAAACGAATTATCAGAAGTAAGCAACATCAAAATACCAGAGACGAATGAAATAGAAATGAGTGATATTGAACTGCTAGACAAAGAACCATTAAGCGACAAAGGAGAGGAAAAAGAGGAGGAAGAGCTCATGGTTAAAGAGGCTGAAGAGGTTGAAGAGGTTGAAGTTGAGCATTCATTACTCGATGTCGAAATAACTATAACATTCAAGTCACTTGATATTAGTAGTTCAATGATAAATAAGCCAGAGTTTCCAAGTGAAGAATTTGGCGATTTTATGGAATTGCTTACCAAGTAGAATTTATCTGATGCATGTGGTAGTGATATACTTAAATTTTTACGAAAAATTAGCTGTGAAGATATAACTTTACCTACCTCAGTAAAACAAGACCGTTAATTATTAGATCGTATTGTTGTATCACATATTTCTTTCAAGAAAGTTCCCATCATGACATATAAAGAAGAAGTTTATTATCTTCGCTATCGTCCAATTTTGATGTCATAAAGGAATTTTTGAGTAATAAAAGTATATATGAAAATTGTGTTTTTGAATTTAGCCCATCATATTATGAAAGTCAAAGGGTATATAGCGAACAATATAGTGGAAAATAGTGGGAAAGAGTCTAAGAATCACTTCCTGATGGAGCAAAAATTTTATCTGTAATTCTATACTCAGATGCAACAACATGTGATCATTTGGGTAAACTAGTGAACACCCAATTTATTTAACACTAGGTAATATAAATAGTCAGCGTAGAAATAAACCCGATGCAAAAATTCTCTTGGATTATCTTCCAACTCTAAAGGCAAAAACTATTTTCCAAAAAAAATCAAAAAGTTTTCAATTAGCTAAATGATCCCTTTATCAATATGCTTTAGACATATTGATACGACCATTACTTGATTATAAAATTAATGGATTTGACCTTATAACAGATAGTGATGAATTATGGTATTATCCATTTATTTCCGCAATATTAGAAGACCTTCCGGAGAATGCTGCATTGACTTTAATATTTAATTCTGTAAACTGTAATTACCCATGTCATAAATGTTTGGTTGAAGTTGATAAATTAAGCGATGTAAAGATAAAAGATGATCAGATTATTCTACGAACACCGGAGAATATGAAAAATGCCATTGAATAAGGTATTGCGCAACAATATTCTTTACACAATATGGGAAACATTTTTTGAAAACATCTGTAAGTATACAGTACTTAGTCTACAGTCACATAATTACAAAAACTTGTTTAATAGCATCTTATTAATAATAATGTTAGCCATTTGAATATTTACTCAGCGACAATACCTGATTGAATGCACCATCTCGATTTGGGATTATTTAATTACCAAGTAACTTACACAAGAGAAATATTAAAAGAATTTTGTGGTCAAATCGCAATTGATGAACTCGATAAATGCTTAGTTGAAATTCTAAGATTTTCAGGTCTTAAAATATTTAAAATGGCCTGGAAAATATTAAATGGTTCACAGCTGATGAATTTCGAAATATGATGAAAGTATTTATGTTTGTCATTGAAGAAATAATTATAAAACACCACAAAGAATCAATAAATGCAACTGATGCAAAACGCCTTAATAGTATGCTAGTTAATGTGTATTATCATTAGAATAAAATGTACTTATATAGTCGATGAGAATACTTTTTAGAATCGGAGTTGGATGATTTTAAAGTATAATTGTTACTGGCATTTTATGTTCACATATATCAAATTTAACGTCAGTATTCATTTTGTTTACAGGGTTTAATTACACAATGGACAACTGAAGTTGTAAAACTCTTTAAAAAATATTCACCATCAAATCTTCAATTGCCAAAGCTGCATAATTGGTATTATTATATCACTATGATAATTAAAAAATATGGAGCAATAAACGGATTTACAACAGAGACGTATGAAGCATTGCATAAAGATGCTGTCAAAAAACTATATAGAACCAGCAACAAGCGTAATGCAACAGATCAAATGATTAAAACGGTTAGCACTACTGAATACTATAATATTATTTTAAACTACTAACTAAATTTTTCAACTACTATTAGATTTACCGAGGATCAATAATCAAGTACTTGTGACAGTGTAAACCTGTCGAAAAACGCTAATAAAAAACTCTAATGAATGGTTTGCTGGGCACGTTTTTTTTAGAAAAATTTGATGAGTTTTTGATGATTATAAGTTAAAAAATAACTTGGCTCAAAAAGCTTTAACGGCCATAAATAATTTTATCTTGGCATTAAATGATTTTTTTGATTTATGTGATGATTTATCTGAAGACATGATTATAGAAAATGCCATTAAAATTAGTTGGTATAGCTATACTAATGTTCCTTTAAGCGGAGACTACATTAGAGCAAAAAGCTTGCATTATAAGGAACTATCGTTCAGTGATGTGTCAATTAATATGAATGAAGAAGAATCTGAAGATTATAATACGTATGACGATGCATGTTTTGGCAAAGTATACATTCTGTTATTTGAATATTAACCATATTGTTAGTTTATTAATTTAGTATTGTATTTATAGGTTATTATATTAGTTAATGTCAATATCGAAAATTATTCATCTTTTGATCTCGCGCTTATACAATGGTACGATTTTTGATATAAAAATCGCCTATACAAATATGATTGTTCATTGTTGCAGTTTACAGATATATATAACTTGGTGCCTGTAGAATCAATTATTGAATTGGTACAAGTAATTAAACGCACTGAAAAACAAAATGAATATTTTGTTAATATGTATATGTTTTTAATTTTGTAACTATCATATCATGATTATTGTATCATGTGACACAAAATTTGGTATATATATATATTGTCTTTCGATTTTGTTTAAAAAAATTTTTTTTTTTTGTTTTTTTTTATTATTATATTGCATTCTTACAAAAAGCCCTCCTCTGTAAACAGATAGAGATTCTTTAATATCTATAGGGAGAAAGCCATTGCTGTTCTCTCCGCCTTTTTACAGTGACAAAGAGAAGGTGTCTTTAGTAGTAAGCGGATATTTATTATCTGACAATATAATATGATTATAAAAAATAAATAAAATAATTACTAATACCTATTGTAACCAGGTGATGATCTTGATGATCATAGATCTACGAATGTGTGATGAAATACAAAATATCGATAATGTCAAACATAGCAAATATGTTTAACATGTTTGATATAGTTAATATGTCTAACATATTAGATATGTTTAATATAGTTAATATAGTAGATATGTT